CTTTACCCCTCCCCACTTGCCCAAGCGATGGGGAATGATTGGGGAGCTGGTGCTCTGATCCCTGACTAATATTTGCACACACACGCGGGTGCGCACGCACGCACACACACACACGCACACACACACACACACACAACATATACCTTGCTGCAGCCCGTTCCCTGAGCCTGCTCCCTTTTTTGTTCCTGTTATGCCTGTTAGGAGAGGGAAGTGACTCCTCGGCGATCCTTGCCACTTGTTTTTTGAGGGGAGGGCAGAGGGTGTAGCCGGGCAGATCCGAGCTCCGTGGCTTTTGCTTTGTGCTTCCCAGAGCCAGTGTCTTGGAAGGAGTCTCGTTTGGGGAGCACTCGCCGGTGATTTTTGATGCTTACGAGAAAAGAGTAAAAGAGAGAGAGCGAGGATGAGAGCGCCGGGCAGAGAGAGGTGGGGGAAGAAGTCACATTCTAGGCCAAGTCAGTTCTCAGTAGTTGTATCCGGGAAGCTCTGAGCGGAGCTGAAAGACTGTCAGGTTCAATCAAGCAGCCGGGAGATCTCACCGAACTTGTCCATAATACGGAGAAGAAGTTTCCAACTTGCAGATCACACAAGGCGAATAGTCAGCAAAGTGCAATCTGCAAAGCCCCTGGTGCCATCGACCTCTCGCAGGTCCCAGGCTCCGTCCGGGGTAGCCGGCTCTGCTCGGGGGAGCCCTGCGAGAGCCGTGTGCTCCCAGCACCGACCTGCCATCAGGGCTCCTTTTCAACAAGTTTCTGACTGCGGAAGTATTTTTTCTTTCAACACGATTGTAAAATATTCCACCCCTTCCTCTTTTTTTTGTTTAAACTTAGTCTCAATTATTCCGCCAGACTCTGCTGGCCTCCACTTGGAATCCGTAAGGACCCGAGCTCCCCAGTGCAGCCCTAAGTCATTTTTTTTTGGGTAGAAGTCACCAACTCTTCGCGGTGCCTCAGGTTTGGTCCCATACAGCTCAGCAATAAACTTGATTCTTCTCCCCTCACAAGTGCATTTGGGAAATCTGGATTTGAATTTAACCTTGTCACGCTTTGCAGTACGGTGTTAAATTGACCCGCAGGCCATTCACAATTTGCAGAAAGTTTAAAAACAAAGTTTCCTGAATGATTAAATGTCCCTGGCAGACGCAGCTTTGGAAAAAACAAAAAACAAAAAACAAAAACAAGCATACCAGTGTTTTGGAGGGGGGGTGGGGGAGTGTCTGCATTTTATCCATCTTTTGAGATATAAAATCGTAATTGTAGTCTTTGACAATAAATGTTTATAGCTGGTGACCTTTGCAAATGTCTAAACGCCAACTGATTCATTTGTAGCTTTATCTTATTTGACCTGTAAACGTAAAACTTTGTCATCTTAATGACTAATTATGCTTCCAGTGGGAGAGAAAAATCCCAGCCACGATCAGATTATATCAAGATTTTGAGATTAGAAAACAACTTGCAGATTAGGCCTGGCCTATTGAGGATGAGTCCCAGGGCACGGCAAATTGCATTTCATTCATTCCTTTAAAGCTAACTGTATTGTGGTATAGTAATGCTTCTGTAGAGACCTACATATGCATATGGATCAAATCCATAAACAGGAGCAGCGAAATTGGGTAAAGGAATGAGAAAGCGATTTTGTAATCATGTTGCTTCCGAGTGCTGGGCCGGTTTGACTTTTCTTGTTTTTGTTTTGCTGATTACTTAGGTAATTAGAGAGTTTCCAAGTAAAATGCAGCAGCTCTTTTCTCTTTCCTCGCACCTCCTGATGCCTTAATGAACAACTTGGCTTCCCTGTCCTCGTCTCCTAAAATGTATTTTTTTTCTCAAGAAATCCCTCTGCTGTAATGTCTAGAATACGTGCTGGCAGAGCTGAGGGCTGGAAACTCAGTCCCAGCCTCCTGCATTTCTCCTTTAACCCCATCCCCTCCACGCTTGGGAGATGGGCATTAAATATGGGAGCAAATTCTGACCGAAGATCTGGGTTTTCTGTTCGGTGTGTGCGTATGCAGACGTGTTTAGTGTATTAAAGGGATGGCTTCACGTTCAGCTCAGCTAAAGGAGATACTGCCACGTCTCCATTGAAGTACAGTGTAGCTTGCTCTGTTGCTAATCAGGTAGCTCTCCAAAGAGCAGTAAATATTTACCAGTTGAAGTCTTCATGCTGCGAGAAAGTACTTGTTTGATGTTTATTTTTATGGTTTTAAGATTACTAAAAGCTACTTAATAAATTATGCCACGGCCAGGCCTGAATGGGGAAACGTGCCTCTGAATTCACCATCATATGCAGGAAGAGTAAAATTAATATTCATTATAGTCGCAAAAGAAAGAGAATGAGTATTTTTAGGTTAAAAAAGAGGGCGAGAAAATGAAGGCTGCGACTATTTCATTATTTTACCTCCTTTTTTTTTTCTTTCTTTTTTTTTTTTTTTTAGCAAACCTCTTGAATGGGCTCTTTATTGTAATTGTCTCTGCCCAATTGAGCACCCCACTGAGCTGTTGTATCTTTTTACAACCCCTAACAACTCACACCAGTAACACAATTACCTCCAGATATTTATAACAAGAAATTACTTTTCCATTTTCGCCCGCGAGGATTTCAAATAAATAAATGAATAAATAAATAAATAAATGGGGAGCCGAGGGGGTGGGGGGGAGGTGGCGCGGGGAGGAGGTTCTTGGGGTTGTCCAGGCGCTGGGTCAAGGCAGCCACTAATGAAGGGAGAAGGGGTTGTTTCTCTCCTCTTTGTAAGTTGGAGGGTTGTTGGTACGCTTAGTTGGGAAGCTGCGCTGCCGGTGAAGGAGACTGGGTTTTCGCACTCTGGGTTTGGGTAGAGGGACAGAATGGAGGCCATTGTTCACATTCTGTAGGCTTTGTTTAACAGTTCTCACCCCCTCCTGTTCTTACTTTTTAAAGCACTGAGGCGAGGTAGACAGCGTGTGTCACAGTACAGTGAAAAAGGGGAAGATCTAAAGACCAAAAAAGAAGTTAATCACAATAAGTGAAGTTGGGGGGGGGGGGGGGGGGGGGGGGGTAGGGGGGGGGGGGGAAGGGGGAGTTGTTAGTGCCACTGGAAAAAAAAAATGAAGCCCAACTCCGACCATGTAAAACCATGTTTGTTTTTTGTTTAAAAACAAAACAAAAAACAAAACAACCAGAGCAACTTCCAAAGTGCAAAAGTGAGCTGGAGAAAATTCGCTGGCAAGTGGGTAGCCAAAAAGCCCCGAAGGGTGATCCAGCCAAACTCTCCCACTAAAAAGAGCATAGGTCCAACGCCGCTCCCCTGGACTAAAGATCGCGGGGTGTGTTTGTAAATAGTGGCACCCAGAGTGTCACCGCCGCCAGCTCCGCGGGCTGGCACGGGGGCGCGCAGCCACCAGCGCCTCCGCAGCTCGCACGCGGATTTTTTTGTAACTCTGCATCTCAGCCCTCCAATCCATGCTGCATCCTACTGGGAGGCTGCGCTGTAAATTAAAAGGAAAAAAAACCCCAAATCAAACCCAAGTGTCTCTCCACACTTTTAATCATGTTTTGCTTTGTCCTAGAGGGAAGACTTTAACTAGTGACACGCAGATGTGTGAGTCCTTAAATTGTAAGAGAGGACAGTCCACCCAGATTTCAGGCAAGTTTAAAAACATGACTCGAGACTTTTGTTTTGGTTGTTAATGCTGTTCCTATAATAGACCACTCAATAAAAAGATAAAGCCTCTTTAAATTAAAAAAAAAACCCCAACCATCTGATGCATTGTACCACTTGCATGCGATTTTTAAGCATTTGGAGGTCGCTTGTCTTTTTTAATTAAAAAAAACATTTTTTTTGCCTTGGGCTGTAAAAAGAACCAAGCCTTTAAATCAATTGGAAAAAAATAAGTCTAACTATAAGAAAGTAAGCCTTTTGAGATATGAACATATCTACAGCTTAACTGTGTGTGCTACCCTCCCCTGATTAACGCCTATTTTATTGCTAATAGAATACTATAAGCGAGCCACGTGGGAGTCTGCTCTATCAATCCAACATGCAGAACAGTAAGTGATTCTTCGTATATTTCCATGATATACTTCCGACTGACTTCAAAATATTGAGTGGAGGGCATGGGGGGAGGGGAGGGGGAAGTCATGGAGGTTTCCATAGGCCATTAGAGTTGGCTTCTTTGAGCTGGGGAGGGAAGGAAGGCTGGGAAGTTTGCTGTGGTCGATAGTGGCTTCGATTTGAGGTTTATTATCTGCATGATTGTTGCTGTTGCTCTCTTATGAGGCGGTGTTTTAGAGAATCTTGGAGCAGGATTGTCTTCTAGCTGATCCACCCTGGACTAATCACGAGGAGAGAAGGGTTAGGGATGTCTTTATGATTGCTGTGAGCGCCCATCTTCCAGGGAGCTACGTGGAAATGGCCACTCCAGGGTCTCGTGAATGGATGTGTGAGGCTTGTGATGGGTCAGACATTTCTGAGGGTCTGCCCCTTCCCTGGGGTGCGCTTAAAAGCTCTGACTTTTTTTCTTTCTTTTTTTTTTTTTTTACAACGAAGTTGGAGCGAGGAGGAGGCAGGAATTTGCAGGTGTAATTATCCGTTACCTTATATTTTAATTTGATCCCTGTAGTGCTGTTTTTCTTTTGTGTGGCCTTTTTTTTAAAGGACTTTACGGAGGTCCAGGAATGATGACCGGGCCATTTCACGCGATCTGGCAGCGAGCAGCAGTGAGAAAGGGGGGGGAAGACCGACCAGATTTGGGCTCTCTCGGGGAGAGGCTAGTTATGTGATGCCTTAGCGCAGTGAGCCATTGCAGCTCCTGCGGATGGAAAGACATCGGCTGCAGTTGAAGGCATGGCAGGGAGAGAAAGTCGGGCAGGAGAGAGCCGGGGGGAAGGCAGGCGTTGGGCAGGGGAGGCGAGCAGAGCCCCAGCCTGGCCCAGGGAGAGGTTTGCATCTCTGTAAGCAGGCGGATGGCGAGAAGGGCCGCGAAGGTGCAGGGCTAGATCAGCAGGCATCAAGGACCAGAAAAAAAAAA